TGTTCTGAAGGTTGTTCTTCCTAACGTTTCGCCAGTCTCTGTGGCCAGCATCTTCAGAGAACAGCACTCTGTGCTCTGGTGTACTTTGCTTGGGAGTGGAGTATTTATGGCTGTGAGATAGACTTTTGTCCTTTTCTGGAGATGGGTGATTAGTGTGTCTTGTTGTGGGTGTACTGTTGTGATAAGGAGCAGAGATCTCCTTATCACAACAGCCCGAAAAACCCACAACAACCATTAGATCCTGGCTGTGAATGCCTTCGCAAATACTTTGTTTGAGAAACTGAAATACTAAAAATCAGCCAAGCCCATTAAAAACGTATTGTACAGGAACAAATATTTCATGGCATTTAAAAAGTAACAGTGATGGCAATAAGTGGATCAGTCTTGGGAAGGAGTCCTCTAATTGAGATACACTCTCCACAAGTAAAGGGGTCTCGAAATGGACTTCTAATGACATCTCTGCTACTAAGAAAATTTACCTAAAATGAGGAGGTCCTTCAGGTTTATCTTGATTCAGACCTGGATTTTGAACAAGTAACAAACAGCATGTGGCACACTGCCTGAGGAATAACTGGGGTATCCTTAAACTTTTCCAATAGAGATACAACATGATCAAACCAGCCAGCTGTGTCAACAGCCTGGCTTCTTTGTTCCACATCAATTAAAGTTTCCAAATACTAATCAGAGGCTGTAGCGAACACCCTGCCTTCCCATATATGTAATGGTATTAGCCTGCACCAATGGCAGTTGTTGGGAGGCACCAATGGGAGTTGTTGGGAGGCAGAGCCAGCTATAGCAGAGGAGGAGGGGGAGTCTAGTGAGTTCAGTCAGAGACAAAGAAGAGAGAGTTTTGGGGGTTTGAGGCAGGGAGAGAGTAAGGAGTGATTAGTCAGAGTGAGACTGGTATTAATTAAGATAGAAGAGGTTAAAGTAAAATACCGAAGCTTTGTGTAACTTTAAGAATGTGCTTAAAAACTATTCCTAGAACAATGTGTAATCAATAAACCTTTTTCTATTTAAAAGTTGAGTACTGAATGGACTTCAGTCTTTCATAGGAAATACAGGTTGATAAAGAGATCAACTGGTGGCAGCGAGGTAAAGGGCGTGTTGGGATACTTGCGTGTGCTGTGTGCTGGGTGAAACAAGCAGGGGCCACATGGGTAAACATCACAGAGGCAGCCCCATAAAACACTACTAAAATCAACCCTGGCCAGGTCACATTGCTCTAAGGCTGAAGAAAGCATTTTTTGTTCTCCCATCCATGAGCACACCCTTACCTATCCATGATGCCCAACATCTGTTTGCGAATATCTTGGGCTCGGCGCAAGGAACGGGCTTGAATGAAATTTTCATAGCACCACGGATTGGAGAATTTGTTGTTCTTCCAGGAGTTGTAAACAGCCAGAAGTGTGAGGTGATCACCTTCTGTTTGGTGAAACTTGGCCTTCTTCTGGTCAGCAAGAGCTTGTTTGTCCTACAGGAATGACGAGAAGTCACATTTCTCTAAGAAAATGACACTCTTATTTGTCAAAGCAACAATACCCTACTAACATGCTAATTCTTCACATCTCCTGCTGCACCCATATCGTCTCCTCTTTGTGCTTTAAATGAGCTGATGCAGATAACTCCTGCTACACCATCTATGCTAGAGAGAAGGCTTGAAGTCAAGTCTCCCATATTTACATTTTACTGCCTATCCACATGACCAACATTTCACATGGTTTTCTTTCTTCCTTGATTGTTGTTCTGTGGGTTACAATTCCTTTTTTCTCATCCTAAGACCCCAATGTACCTTAGGTCGGTAGAAGACATTCTGAACAGACAGCATTGAGACTATGGTGAGCATCTCCTCGCTGCAACCCAAGTGAACTGACATGATGAGCATCTTGCACAGCATGGGCTCCAAAGGGAACTCTGCCATCTGCAGAGAAAGAGGGAAACAGCATTTACTTTTGGCTTTCATCTCATTGTCTCAAGAACAGCCCAGCAGAGATAGTTAACCTGATGGAAATGGAAGTTGACTAAGCGTCCTAGTGATTTTTTTCTTGGTAGGAACAATATACTGTGGCCTGCCTGGAACCATCTTCATAAGCTCATGCTCTTTCTTCCTAAAGATGCTCCACAGAGACACTAGCAAATGCAAGGCAACGCGTCTCTATCCATTTCTCACACAATGATGCCCAGAGAGCTTGCCTTTGTACTAGTCAGGGCAGTCTTCTGTGCATTCAAAGTCATGGAATCTATTATTTGCCAAGGGAAGCATTCTGGTAACAAAGCTTGCTTCTTCTCTTGCTTTAGAGGCCATTTAAAGTATATGGGCAAGGAATTAGGAAAAGTTTGTTCAGTATTTGGTAATATCCCAGAGGAGCTGTGCAGAGTTTTTCCACTTTTTCCAAAGAGAGATGAGGTTTGCAATGGCTTGTACTTCCTTCTCTTCCATATAGCTGCTACTGCTTCCTGTCTCCTGCCTCTGCTGCCAAATCAGATTGCAATCGCTAAGCAAGGCACCACTGTAGTTGGCTACTGCTTCCTGCCTCTGCTGCCAAATCAGATTTGATTTCCATGAATTTAATCCCTGTCAAAAATGTTTCGCTTTCTGGAAGTAGACCTTATTTTACACATTTATGCAGACTCATGTAACTTATTCTGGATGCAGGCACTAGATTTTATACAAACTTTCCCTGTATCCCCTCCCACTAGTGACTTCTGCCCATCAGTGAGATCTGAACACAAGGCGAACCCTACCCGGCGCCCCAGTCGGGTGAGCAATCCCTCATCATCCAGAGCTCCCAAGGTATACAGTTGTTCCATTGCAGTGATCAGTGTTTCCATTGGGGGGGCATCCATAAAATCAAAAGACAGCAGGTCATTGATCCCCATAGCCTGTGTGGAGAGAGAAGGGGGAAGTGAGTGCTGTGTGCTTTATTGAGAATAATCAAACCATTCCCCACCCTGATTCACAAAGATACTCAATGAGGTATCTCCAAGATATCTCAAACATTCCCCACCCTGATTCACAAAGATACTCCAAGATATCTCAATGATACTCAATGCACTAGTTATGAAATCAGCAGTTCTTACTTTCAGAGATAGCACAGTACTGGCCAAGTTGGTCCTCTGAATCTCAGGCACGTTAGTGGTCAGCATCTCGTCACGGTAAGCACGCTCTGTGTAGAGGCGGTAGCATTTGCCAGGACCTGTTCTTCCTGCTCTTCCTGCTCGCTGCTTTGCTTGGGCCTATGAGAATCACAGACAAGAAGCCACATGGGGTCTCTGAATTACTTCTACTGTCCCCATGATGCATTTTTATTTAGCACTGGCATATTACATGCAATAGGAAATACAGAGGACTTCAGATACTCTTAGAGAACCTTCTTAGTGGCTGCTCCTAGGCTTTGGAATGTGCTGACCCATGAAGCTAGATTGGCCCCCTAACTCTTGTCCTCCTTTTGCCAGGCAAAGACTCTCCTTTTCAGGCAGGCATTTAAGCAGCAAATGATGGCTTTAGGAATTCGGAGATTTTAAAATGTTTCTTTTAATGTTTTAAAAGGTGGCTTTAATATTGATAGAAGTTTAGTTTTTAATGTAGTTTCTTATGGTGTTTTCTACTCTGTAGTTTTAAATGTCTGTGAACTACCTTGGGTCCTCTATGGGGAGAAAAGCAGGATTTGTATAATATAGACAGACAGAAGTCTTGCAATCCAAGGAAACCATGTGGAATCGGGCAAGCAGAAAGTGAATCATTGGGGTCAAGGAAATAGTCCAAGGAAAGCTTTATGGAGATTATGGGAGATCTTCAAACGTTCCATAATGACATATCACAAAGAATCTCACACCCAAAGAATAATTTAAATTTTTTAATTTTAAATTTTTTAAAACGGCCGACATCTCTTTGGTAGTTCCAACTAGAGTAGACCCAATGAGTAAATGGTAACTTGGCAAGTTAACACTTACATAAATCCAACTGATTCAATGAGCCTATTTTAGTTGGAACTATCAAATGGATTTAGGTTGCTATGTTTCTTTCCTTCAAAAGTGAAGGTAGATTTAACAATGAGTAAGCACTGCCTCATAGAATTTCAGAAGATCGTAATGAGAATGTGATCAATTCCTTGATCACATTTCATATGGCTTGCAACATAAATCCAGCCACCTGTTAACAGAAGATCAACAGCTTCCTGCCCACCTCAGCTGCAGATTCCAAGGAGAGCAGCACCCAACTATGTACCTGGGAAATTGGTGTCACAACCAGCTGGTCAATCCCTGTCTTGGAGTTGTATACTTTCTGCTTCACAAAGCCAGGGTCTACCACATAGTAAATGCCATCAATTGTAAGTGAAGTTTCAGCAATGTTTGTGGCAATCACAACCTACATAAGAAAAAAAAACAGCTGAAATCAGGCAACAAGACAAGAAGAAATGGCAGAAACAGTTATCTTTACAGAGATATCTACTATACACTCATCACTACAGTGCAGACACTGCGCATACCAATCTTCATTACAGAAGTAGTTAGAAAAACCCTCTTTCAAGAAAACTATTCAAGCATGAGGTTATCTGAAGAATTAAAAGTTGATAATGGATAATGTTTTGGGGCTAACTGATAAATAAAAAACCCTATGACAGCCAGGTTTAGATGGCAGATAAGCAAAACTGATTTAACAGCTTCCATATGACATGGCTGAAACTCTAAAAAGAAAAAAAAATCAATTCCTCACTAAAATCAGCATCCTTACTGAAAAACTAAAATGGCAGGATAGAACCAATCAAAAAGCTACCCACTTCTTTTTAAAAAGAATCCAGGAAATTGTTAGACAAATTTCTGTCCTAAATGAATTGATAAAAAAGTATGATTAACACAAGAACAAACAAAGGGAAGAATGGACCTTGGTGAAGAAAAATCTGCATGACTCCTCCAAAGGGAAGTACTGTCTCATAAACCTTTTCAAACTCTTTATGGGCCAAACAATATAATTCTGAAACTCTGCTGAAAGGACAGGAAAGGTGCTGAGTGGTGTACTGATAGTCTGCACATCAAGCAATATGCACAAGCCATGATTTAGATACAGTGAGAGATGCACTCCATACATTTGCTAAAGGTGAATATAATGCACCCATTGAAATGTATGGATTATTCCCAAGATCAGTTAATAAATATGATACTTTTAAAGCCTTGTGCCATTGGCTTGCCGCTGTTATTTTGTTTAAATGCTGACCAGAAGCCTTTTGCTGATTTATGCTTGCATAAGGGAAATCGTTAAGTCTTGGCAGCAAATTGCTGCTCACTAGTGAGGTGAAGGTTGCATTCCGGGGTGTGTGTGTAATTTGGCAACAGATTTCTGGCTGCTATGTTGATAAAAAAAGTGTTTCTTGTTTTGATCTGGTTTTTTTTTGGATGGAAATACTAGAACCAAAAAGGAACCTAGTATTGGGGACATGCCACAAGGATAAAATTCAACAGGGTGATCTTCAGATGGAGAAAAATTCAGGAGATAATCACAAAATACATTACAGAAACAAGCAATCATCCCACAGTAAATGGATCCGTATGTTTCGGATGCAACAACAGGACAACATTTGCAGACGCAACCAACAACAATTCTTTGGATCGCATTCTTAGTAAATAAATACAGGGAAACTCTAAGGCCCCAGTTGGTCGATCACTGAAAATATACAGGGGGAGGTGGGGAGAGAGTGGGGAATGGCTAGTTGCCTTTATGTCCTGCAAGTGGTTGTTTATTGGAAGCATCTGGTCATTGCATTTTTGCAACCGCATCTTAATGCTTAAAGGACTCTCCATCTGATCCAGACACGACTTTTCTTGATAAACCATGTCAGAGGGAACATCCCATCTGCAAGAAATTGGTAGGAACAGTTACCTTTCGACTGCCTGGAGGAGCTGGATCAAAAATCCTTGTTTGCATCTCACTAGGCAGTGCTGAATAAACAGGCAGGATTATCAGCTCTGGCACATCAGGGCCCAGGGATTTCATCCGTTCGTAGAGAATTTCACAGGCTGTATCGATCTCTTCCTGGCCAGTCAGAAACACCAGGATGTCTCCTGCACAGAAGTAAACCATGCCACCACAGTTAAGACCACACACAGTCAGGTTAGCACACAATGCTTGTAACTCCAGAAAAGGCAGAATTTTGAGACCTGTCATATTTTCCCTCTTATTCTGATAAGAGTCATTTGTGCAAACTGCAGCTTAAGACGTAATCAGTTCAGTCCTAGGAGCTATAGAAGTAAGCTTGAAAATATGTAGTTGTTCTGGTTAAAGGCACAGTATTAGCCTGTAAGGGGAAGATGTACATAATTATTTTTAATGTAAAAACCACCCAAATATCTTACAGAAACGTTGTATTCTGTAGAAAGCAATACCCACAGAACGCAATGTGTGAAACAGTTTTCCTTTCCTTAGCATTCACTCTCAAGGCAAATCTTTACCCAGAGCCGAGAAAAGAATTAGTTTTTTGGATTACATATTCTGGTGGCCATGAATGGTAGGGGATGCTGGGAGTTGTAATACAAAGAATAAACTTTGCCAAATGCTGACATGTTTGATGCAAAGCAAGTAGAACAAAAATGGCAAAAAATAGAAATGAAAATGAAAAACGGTCAGAACAGACCTCAGATGGATCATAAATAGTAAACTGACACAAGCCATCTCACTTATCTTGAAAGCTACTAGGCTCACAGTAAGTCAGTTCTGACTTGAAGGCACATAATGCATACACGTTGGTTGCAGGATGGCTAAATGGGGCATGGGGGCTACTTGAGTGCTGCCAGAGAAAACGACAGGGAAACCAGGAAGTCGCGTTTTGGCAGGCCTCTGTAAAAACCTTCATGTGTGAGAAAAATATGTTTATAAGTTTCTGTTCAAGACAGAAGAAGCCAAGAGTGGCAATGTTCAGGCACTGCCTGTGAAGAGGAGGACACACTGGCCCACTGTTTTTGGTGGGAACCCTGCTGAGACCTTGGTGCTTTGTATTTTGCCCATTTAGGCATTCTATCAATCCAACTACTAGGGTGGGAGGCAGCTGAATGTCTCCCCCCCTCCAAAGTGCTAGCAACACAGAAAAAAAATCTGGTCTCCAGATTACTGGCTTATAAGGGTTTTGATCACAGAAAAAATCACTGAATCATCCCCATTCAATCGCAAGAGCAGTTAGGGCGAGAACCAGCATAGGCCTCCTTCTGATGAATATTTGCAAGTGTGCCAAATTTCCATTGTGAGAATGAGAACGTGAGAGTGTGCAAGGGGAAGTGATCTGCTCCAGATACCCACTTCCACCAACAAAATATGTTCTCATGTCACAGTTATTCATGAAAGGGGAAAAGACCTCAAGTAAATTTGAAAAGCAAGTTCATAAGCTAGATTTTTATTACAAGTTTAAGATAACTTCCAACCATTTCAGCTTCACAGCAGAAGAATAATCATTTAATGAACCATCGTTTTATAAATCTGCTGGGAATTCTGTACTTGAAATCTACAGCTGACTTAGAAGTATGGCTTCATTGCCAAGGATGGTGGGTGCAGGCAGTGCAAACAGCTAATTCACAGCTGAAAACAAATTTATTAAAATTTCTAATGCCACCATTATATTTTGAAAGTGGCATCCAGTGATGTCTAAGCTTCGTCATTCAGAAACAGCCTGCCAACATTTTCTCTGCCAGCAACAACCATTCAGTAGTTAACAGAGGAACAGGATGGCAAATGGATGTTATAACCACAAACTTACATGAGCAAACAAACATAGATTAAACATCAGAAAATATATACACTATACCATAGTCTCTGTGGAAGGCCAGGAAAGTTGGCGAATGTGTAGGGGGTCTCACCTCTACCACCCTCTTTGCAATTTAGGACTAACATTACTCCAACATCTTACCTGGTGGCTCTGTCAAGTGGATCTGCATGACTGTGATCAGGCTGGCATCCAAGTAGTCTGTCTCTGGCTCCTTAGTGTACAGTATCTCTACTGGGTATGTCCTGCCTGGGATAGTGAAAATGGGGGCCTCGTAGAAGTACTGAGAGAACTTGACTGCATCCAGGGTGGCTGATGTGACGATCAGTTTCATGTCCTGTCTCTTCTGAACTGTCTGCAAAGGACAGAAATTGACAAAGCTTGTCAAGTGTAGAAAAGGCAGCTATATAAGCCACAAAGATCAAAAACCCTCGGTAGCAGCCAAACTTGCCTATAATCTAAATCCAAAGGCAGGACCCAAGTCAAACAAGCATTCTCTCCTGCTTTAAGTAAAATGCTTTCGTAATACAGAAGTTAACACCTATACCTACTTGATAGGAAGTCTTCCATCAACTTTGCTGTCTAATCTACTACTTTTTGTGGCTTTCGTTAGGGCAGGGAAAGAGGAAAAGGAAAACTAGGAAAGAGCCGACACCTTTTTCAGGAGACCAAAGAGCACATCAGTGTGTATGGTACGCTCATGGGCTTCATCCAACATGATGATGGCATATTGTGTCAAGTCTGGGTCAATCAGGCACTCTCGCAGCAGCATCCCATCTGTCATGTACTTGATCACCGTCTCCGGGCTGGTGCAGTCCTCAAACCGAATGGTGTAGCCAACCTGCCAGTAAGTGAGGACAGAAAGATAGCTGTGAGGTATGGTACATTAATACAGGGTTCTTGCAAGAATCATCATAGATAATTTATAGCAAGAATGGGAAATCTTAAGCAACTGGATATGATCTGCGCTTCTCACCTAGTCTCTTTCTACTTCCCTCATGATGTCCCTTAGCCCCAGCTCAGTCACAGAACACAAGCTGTGCTGTGCAGATTTCATGGCTCCATGACTGCATCACAGGTTCAGACAGTGGTATCAGATGCCAAAAACTGAGCATCTTCCCCATCTCCACTTCGATTTTAAAAAGTGTGCTGCTTAAAAGGTGTAGAGTGTGTGGAAAGCATGTGGAGAATGCCTGGGAGAAATCCTTAGACCAAGGAGTGGCAGTTTTAGAGGTGATCGAGTGTGGGATGTCCATGTGGTGCATTGCTAACAGAAGCCGAATGAATTATGTAAAATAACGGCCCATGCAAATATACATAATTTACACAGAATGCAGGATATATAGTTCCTTACATGTTAGCAATGCTAAAGCTGGAAAAGAATGTTATGAAAATTTTATGAAAACAGCATCTGAGAAAAAGCAAGTGTTCCTTTTTTAAACTCCACATAGGCTTACAAAAGCATCAGAGAAAATCAGGGAGGTCGCTGACTTGAATAAGCAGGAGTAGCTTACCAGAATTCAGCATGATCCAGAAGATGGATGGATGGATGGATGGATGATTTTGGGTGTGGAAACATATTACTACATAATACATTATTACATGCCTGTGGAATGGGAGGCCATAGTCATTTTAAGCCATGCCCCCATCATTTAAAACCATTTGGGAAGATCCCCATTTAAGAAGCAGCAATATAGCTCCTGCAAGTAATGCAGTCAAGTTTTGTTGCTGCTTTAGGACCTGTCCAGGGTGGATCAGATTACAAAGGGTCTGTTGAGGTGAGGGGGGAAGACAATGTACCATTTGGCATGCACCTCCCTTCCAAACAGCAAAGAACTCCTTGTAGCTCAATCAGCTATCAATTAAACACTTCTACTGATCATCCGTGGAGGGTCAGGGGAAATGATTTTTTTTCTTTACGCATCACTCCTCTCTCCCGCTGTCAGTGGTGTTCTGTTTTCTCCCTCATCCTTCCCTTCCCTTGTTCTCCCCCCCCCCAATTTTCTCTCTCACTGTCCCACTGAATCTACAACCACAATGGTAATTGAGGCTGCCATCTCTCCCCCCCCATAAGCAATGAGTGTGCCAAAAAGAAGGCATGCTCTACTACTGGGCCAAAAAGGTGTGTGACAGCTCTTAAAGGGGAAGGACAGCTTGATCTAAGGAGAAACACATGCAAATGCAGCCTTTTTAAAAAATTCAAACCATGCCATCAGCTATCAATAAACCACATCTATCTGCCGGTGTGGACGGCCTCTGGGTTGCCTGCCAACCTCTCTTTCATTTCTAGTGTGCTGCAAGACTAATCCACCCAACAACAACTCCACATCTTACCTCCTGACCCAAACAGCAACCGAACTCCTCTGATACCCTCTTGGCAACAGACATGGCAGCTACTCGGCGAGGCTGCGTGCAGCCAATCTTTCCTCGGGAGGTGTAGCCAGCTTCAGCAAGGTACTGGGTGATCTGTGTAGTTTTGCCAGAACCAGTCTCTCCAATGACTATCAGAATCTGGTTATCATGGACTGCCTGGAAGAGGAAAGGCATTGAAATAAGCTGGCTGAGATTAGGACACAATTAATCTCTTTTCTAATATTGTTACACTCAAATAGCTTCCAAATTCTATTGTTATTCTCTATATGCATATTATGAGATATTAGCAAGAATCAAGTTGCTAGTCCTTATGGTGCAGCAAAAGGCCTGCATTAATGTGCAGCTCTAAATTGTGGCTTCTAACATGAAATACTGAATAATATCTTATAAAACAGTGGTTCCCAACACTGGATAAGCCAGGTGTTCCTGGACTGCTATTCCCCGAAGCCATTACCACCAACTGTTCTGGCCAGGGTTTCTGGGAGCTGCAGTCCAAGAACACCTGGATTACCCAAGGATGGGAACTACTGTTATAAATCAAAACTGAGAATCTTTAAAAAGTAGAATTACTGAATTCTGTTGGAATTACTGGAACAGAGAACCTAACCCACACTGAATAACACATTCAAATTAAAGCAAGCATATGTGGACTGTCCAGTACTCCCAGAGCGTCTGACAGTTCAAACAACATGAAGCCAAGGCCACACACCCCATGTTGCGCTCTACCTTCTGTACTCTTAATTCTGTCCTACATTCAATAGATGGCCAACAGGAACAACACTGTGTGCTAAGCATACAGACACCAGTTTCTTACATCTGGAACAGAAAATCTGTGGCATATGCTTTTGTAGGGGCAAGGAAAGTCATTTGTGGTCCCTTTGATTTTGATACACCACTGAAGTCTCCTGTACAGATCAAGCTAGCATACTTGACAGCCCTTTGACGCAACTCAGAGAAGCTAATATATTTGGTCTTGCCTGAATGAGTTGATCCTTTAGTCGAAAAATAGGAAGACTTTCCCGCTGCTCAATAATTGATAGTTGAGTCTTTTTGCCATACGAGGCTTTATTGCCTCCAAAAGCATGCTTCTTCCACTCAGGGATGTCATTGGGCATCATGCCAATACCTCGCATGTTGGCAGCAATTTGCCTGCCATCCACTGCAAAGTGAAGAGAAAAAGCCAATTAAATGCAATCAGCGTTCAGTACATTTGAGTAAACAGGATTGTTTGAAAAGACATACCTACTGGACAGAAAGAACATAATGATACGGATTCAAACAGTGGCATGACAAATATAAGTAGAATGCTGTCAGGATAGGTCCCTTCACATACATACCCAACAGGCAATACAGGAACAATTCCACTGTCTTTCTTCCAACACCAGAGAGCAAGGAATATTGTCAAGGGGAGCCTACACAAGACATCTATATATTGTACACATGCAGTTCCTTCTTGTTCATATGCAATTCAACAGGCTGATGTCAGGCAGAGCTCACATGGAAGTTGGAGAAGTGAGGCTGGTGGGAGAATGGGTGGGGCTCTTATAACTGATTCTAAGCACTGGATCTATAGATGACCTCTCATAAACATTCTAAACAGCAAGAAAAAGTATTCCCCCAGCACTACGAGAACAGGTGGAACGGACAACACTTTTGTCTCCCATTGTGGTGAAATAATGGAAGGCTCCAGAAAGTTCAAAACAGGAAATGATGGGGTCAGCCAACCCATTTCTTCCCAGCATCATTCAACTGGAAACACAGAACAGAACACAGAGATTCCATTACCAGCTATCATCGTTCATAACTATTGAGGACTTTTTCAATCATCCCCCAATATAACTGATCATTCCAAAGCCAATTAAGCATGTGGTGATCTTGCCTGATGTAGCAGAAACTAACTTCTCGTTAAGGACAGGTGGACCATAGTATACCAGCAGATGAAAATAGGCACTTTCTCTTGTACTAATGATCTCACCACTGAAACCTCTGTTAATGGCTTTCTCTTTCGCAAGAAGGGGATACCCTCGGTAGTCACATACTAGATTACATCAAAATTATGTCCACCTAGCACAGATAGGGAACCTTGGGTCTTCTGGAAATCAATGGAATGTGCCTCCTATCATTCCTTACCTCTAATTATTTTGCTTCCAACTGATGGGCACAGCTGTCCAACATTTTCTGTAGAGCTACAATTCTCTACGCCTGCTTAGAAATCTTCACCCAGAGCAGTTGTTGTTGCTTAGTTGTTTAGTCGTGTCCGACTCTTCGTGACCCCATTGACCAGAGCATGCCAGACCCCTCCTGTTTTC